GATGCATCGCCCGTTCATTTCCAGCGCACCAAGTCCTTGTCAAGGGAATTCACGTCCCCAGCCCCCGTTTGGACGACGACCTCCACTCGGATTAATCGGCGGAATCCACGCCTTGCAAGCGCGGGCCTTCGTCACTGTAGCCGCCAGCATAACCGACCCAATCCACTTTGTGGGTAGGAAGATGCCGGTCTCACCATCCTCCGCCGTGACCGCGACCTCAATTGGCGTTATCATATCGGTGTCCAACTTCGTTGTTCGTGCCATGGGTACTGTCGCCACGATCACACCTTTAACCTTGTCAAACGTTCGGAATGGTACCAACACGGTACGGTCGTTCGCCGTGTACTTCAACTCATTTAGCCCAAAGTCCATAGTCGCCTTATGCTCATCCATGAAGTCCACGCCAAGTAGGAACTCGCTTGTGCAGCCATTTACAATGCACGAAGCCACGCACACTTTCTTGCCGAACACCGTCTTCAGGTTAAACCGCCATACACCGACGACATCCAGCAAGAAACCACCAATTCCTTCAATGTAGTCCACAGGTGCCTTCGCAAATATTCTGTCCCCGTGGGCCATCCAGTCGGTACCTGCCGCTGTGAATTTCGCGCCACTGTCCAGCTTGACGTGTCTACTGGTTCCCGACAACTCCATCGTAGCTGTAGGAAGACCGTCGTCTGCCTCCACATACTGCACATCCCCGTCATGCTTCACCAGATCGGTAATTCGCTGTACTAACCGTACTCGTGCAGGCTCCTCATTTGACTGCGCTCGTGCCCAGGCACCATGTAGCACCCCACCCTCGTCGCCCCTTCGTAGTTGCACTCGCTCTTCCAGTTCGTGTAGCGCGCAGTTGGCCTCGTACTGCCGTCGAGTTCGGTCATCTCCTATAGCGCGTAGTCGTTCTTCCTCCGTACGGACCTCTTCACATCGCCGTGCCGAGACACGTTGCACACGCTTCTTCTGACTTCGCATCAACTTCCGCGCCTGACGCACTACTGCTATGTTTATTCCTTCGTTCGTGGCCGGTTTCGGTGCTCTGCTATGATACCTAGTCAGCCGTGCGTACTGCATACCTCATCAGCGCTCCTCTCCACGCACGCGCCTTCTTCAGATCGACACATCCCGCCATATTCCAAATGATCGACCAAGCACGTGTCACGTACGGCTGCCATGGCCGGTCGCACGGTTGCAACGTAGCGAACTGCTCTCGCATGGTCCTTCTCCATGGCCAAAATATTCATCGCTTCGAACATCTCGTCCATTCCGTTCTTCTCGTCTGACGTCACGCCCGTCTCCGGTCGTGTCACCTCTACTCGTTCTGGTGGCACCACACCTGCTTCAACGGCGTCCTTCCCCTTCACTTCGCCTTCTGTTCCCG